CTTGGGACAGGCACATACATACAGAATATATGTATTGGTTACCCAAACTACACAAAAAACCAATAACATATCGTTTTATCTCGGCCTCTAGTAAGTGTTCTATAGCTAATCTTTCACTGCTTTTAACAAGTTCCTTAACTACTACCAAAGAGCTTATCATAAACTATTGTAATAAAATATATGAAAATTGTGGAATTAACTTTTTTTGGCGTGTAAAAAAATCTTTGGATGTTTTAGATAAATTACGTGCTTTTGATGGTCCTTTTGATTCTGTTGACAGTGTTGACTTTTCTACTCTTTACACTACACTTCCACACAATCTTATCAAACAAAAGTTTTCCTGTTTAATTAAATGGTCGTTTGGTAAATCTGAATGCAAATATATTTGCTGCAACTCATTTAAAGCCTTCTTCTCTAATGAGAAAGGTAAATATGCTAGATATACTTACTGGAGGTGTGATGAGATGATTGAAGCTGTTAATTTTCTCCTTAATAATATTTATGTACGTTTCGGCAACAAAGTTTATCGACAAGTTGTAGGTATTCCAATGGGCACTAATTGCACCCCTTTAATAGCAGACTTGTTTTTGTACTGTTATGAATCACAGTTTATGACAAGACTCAGTGAAGACCCGTCTAAATTGCATTTAATTGATAAATTCAACAACACTTACCGTTATCTTGATGATATTATTTCGTTAAATAATCAAGAATTTTCTAAATATACTGCCGAAATTTACCCAAAGAAACTTACTTTAAATAAATAAAATTTAAACGGCAATTACTGTCCTTTCCTAGATTTATATATTTCGGTTTTACACGGGAAACTCCACACTAAAATTAACGACAAAGGGGACGATTTTTCGTTTCCTATTGTTAATTTTCCCCTTTTGGATGGTGATGTTCCTTTGGCACCGTCTTACGGTGTTTATAGTTCACAACTCGTTCGCTATGCACGTGTCTGTCGTGACGTTTTTGATTTTAAAGAACGTAATCTATGTATTACTGGTGAATTCTTAAGCTAGGGATTTCGTTACCACAAATTACTTAAAACCCTTACTAAATTCTTCCATAGATATAAAGATTTGGTTTTGAAGTTTGGTTGTACCTGTAGAAAACTTATTTCAAACGGGATAACACATCCTCATTTTTACGGAAATGTTGTTTACCGTGCCAAGAAATTTAGAAACGATCCTTGTAAACTTATCGATCCTTTAAATAAACTTATTCTAAAAGGTTACCAATTCAACACTGTAATTAGATCATTGAATATTGTTTTTATTGGTATTAATATTGATTTTGTTATCAGTAAATTAAAAGCAAACTAAATATTATTGATATATACATATACACATTCATGGATCTACAATCTGTCGATACCTGTATCTTGCCATTGCACAAGGTCATGTTTTTCTCTGACTGTTTATGACGTCTTTACACTAAATCCATTAGATGTTGGATGTGTACGGATTGATACTTTAGTCTTAGATGCATGCTTTTTTAAGTTGTTAGTGGCTTTGAACTAGCTGTTAGTAACTGCAAGTACTCTCAGATCTGTACTTAGTGTCTTTTTGTTGTTGGGATATACAAGTACTCGGCCACATCCACTCTGTGTAGTATTTCTGTTTGTATCCCTCTGATGAGTTAAGCCTTTTTCAACAGATTTTTATAGTTCGTTCTTATGTTGTACTGTTACAACACTGTCCGAGGTTAGGGGGAGGGTTGGGATCCCGCTAACAGGTTTAACCCCGCCATATTCTGTATGTATGTGCCTGTCCCAAGTCCCGAGCCTGTAATTCAGTGATTGTCGTTTGTTGATGTGTTACATATTTGTTTTTCGTACATAAATTGGGCCGTTAGTTTTCTCGTTTGAATTGTTCTACATTTGTAATTTCGAGGCCTTTTATAGCTGACTGTGCGGTATTGGCTTTGCTCATGGTTGAAGGCCGTACGGTGGCCTATATTTGTTAAGTTCTGTGTCATTTGGTCTCTTGTGGAGAGTTGTCTCATTGGCAATCATACCACATCTTCTTTTTTATATCATTAAGAAGGGATATTGTTACGATACTGTTGTCAGGTCATTAAAGATGGCATATTTTGGCTTTAATATTGATTCACTTATAGTGTCTTTGCATCGGAAATAAACACTTTTATTCTAAAACCAGTTGTTGGCATGGTACGGGTTATGTTTTTTTTCATATATTTTATGATGGTATGATGCTAAACCCCTAACGGGATGGATTGTGCTTGATATGTATATGATGAAGACATAAACTTTCAATCAGTTTAATTGAGGTCTGGAGCTGGCATGTCATTCAAAATCTCTATCACGTTATTCGATCGTGCTAGTACTACCGAGACGCTGACAGAGTGACACGATCCTGCATCAACAAATGTGATTATATTCTTACTACAAATATTATCAAAATAATTTCTAGGGAATGTTTATGACATTCATGGTTTATTGATCAGAAATAGGCTTCACCTATTCGTGAATTGACGACAACGTTTACTTTTACAAGACTAGTGCAATACAGACTATTTTCATTGACGAGCATAGCAGTATTCTAAATGTTTAAAGTGCAAAATTAATAATTTGAGTTTTATTTTCAATCAAATATGGAAACACTGGTGCAAACGAAGCCGTACATTTTATAAAACTCCAACAAAAATGATTTTACAGTCTTATGGAACAAAATGTATCAAACATTTATCCTAAGGGAAAAAAAAGAAAACAAAAATTAATTTCAAGGGAGAAAACAAATCCTACGGAACAAAATGTATCCTAAGGAAGAAAAAGAAATCCTACAGGACAACATTAATCCGAAGGGAGAAACAAAATCCTGAATTTTTGTAGTTTGCACTCGTATTGCCGAACCAGGCGAGCTATATCACAAATTGTTTTTGCATTGTTTTAACGATCCCTAAAGGTATACTTTTGTCAAGTTTGAAGACTCTACCATAAAAACAAATGCGGTCCGGATTTGCACTTTAATCCGAGAAACTGTTTAGGGTAATTATTCTTCAACCTCTGATTTTTTTAGTCTGCCCTTCCACGAAGTAATTTATAAGATTTGTTTTAGTGATTTTGAAAATAGAACTGTCATATAAGGATCGCAATGATGTTATATGGATACATTTATTGGTTATCAAGAGATGAATTGACAGCGCGTCATCCCTACAATGCTTCCATTTTTACGATTGAAAAAAGGGGTCGTTATGTTGAGATTATTTTGATGCTGTAGAATCCTGACTGAAATCTTATTGAAAGAGCATTTTTTTCATGGTTTTGATGTACATGTAAGTATACATAAGCTTTTATGAATTTTTATTGTTGTCGACACTTATTTTGCAATCAACATACATGTGTATTGAGTTTATGAAGAGATAATATATATAGTTTTCAGATCTTAAACAATGCACCATGCTTGTTCTATTTGATTTGTATAGGCAGGGTTAAATTTGTTCTTCCTAGATGTTGTTTTCCTTCGCAAAAATTCTAAAATTAGAAACAAAGTGGCTTAATCGAAAATAATCTAGTTTTTGCAGATTCTTTGTTTTAGTGTTTAGTTAACAATCGTTTTCCCTGTTTGGCTGATACTTATATATGAACCAAAGAATAACTTCTGAGATAACCATCATTAATATATTCTTGTAAAGTTTCCATCTGACATAACATCATAAGTTACTTGGCCTCATTCACATTGTTCAATGGGCTACTGTTTTAATCATAATGAAGTTTTCAT